CTGCACAAGGTTCCAAGAGAAAGGCCACGGAGGGCGAAGATGAGAGTCTTGGTCAAGCACCAGACCCGAGTCGAAGTTCTCAGACCAATACTGAGAAGGAAGACAAGAAGCAGCGTGTGATCGACGGGCGGAGAGCGGCACTAGGATTCCTGGAGTCAATGGAGAAGTGCATGGGAGATATGGGGATCTGTAAGAAGTGCGCGAACCTGGCACACGACGGCGACTGCAAGGACATTGAGGAGGCTGCTGGAAATGAGAAGGCGATGAAGGTGCTCCGTGAGCTACTCAGCAGTGAACCTGTTTCATCTGATGAAGACATGGGGGATACGGAGGAACCGTCCTCATCAACGTCCAAGGAAAGAAAGAAAGGGGGACAAGCAGGGAAAGAAACAATTGAGATGTACAGCTACACTATTAATTTGGTGGAGTTGGCTGACACGGCTGAGGGAGGAGAGCTACAATGTGGTGGCGTCGACCTCACATACAACCCGTGCGGGGACAGCAGGACATTCAAGAAGACGCTTGAGATGGGATGCGACACCATCCCGTGCTACATCCCGAAGTACGGCGACATGATTGACGTGCATATGCCACGGGCATACGCGTCTATTGTTGACCCCAGATACTTTCCCAGAGGTGCAATCCTTGAGCAGGTGGACGTGATGCAACTTGGCAAGAGTGTCAACTTCTGCATTGCTCCTTTCGACGGTGCTCCACTATGCAGGATTGGTGATGATCGCTCGGTATTTACTACAAGGGACCAAGCAAACCAGCTATCTCACGACCTATGCAGAGTCCTTCGACACAAGATCGGCAATTGCCGAGGAAGTGCTTTCAGGTGCGACGAGGGTGGATGGGTCGACATTGATGCTGTCATTGACGACCGGAACAACGACATATTCCCACCATACACCACGAGAGCGAAACGATACATGGGCATCATGGAGGTGATCAAGTGGCAGGAATCCGGAAGCAAGAAATCGAGATTTCAGGTTCTGGCAGCAAGGTTTCCGAGCATCATGAACCCGAACGACACGAGGGCAGCCAGGGAGGAAATGACCAAGGCTGGCGTGGATCGGGACGACATCGACAGGATGTTCAACAGATGCGATGGATGGTACAGACCTTGGTGCATCCGAGTCACAACCGGTCACAGTGATTTTGGATTCATGAGCTCATCCGCACTGGCGAATAGGTATTCCGCAAGAATGGGTGATTACTCTCGGAGGAGCATTCCATGTGACGTATGTGGAAAACCTGCCAAGCATCGTACGCTGTGGGCTAGTCCCCGGCGGAATCGATGGCGGTAACAGGCTAGCACTGCACTTCGGGGCATTTGCTCCATGGGATGAGATGAACGTGGCGACGAAGACAACGCTACGGAACGTGAGGAGAGGGGATCCGATTGCGATCATCTATATTCCCAGTGCAACCCTCGCGCGGTATGGGGCTGGAGTCGCGGCTAATGGGACTTTCATGGTCTTTGACGTGATCCCGTTCTATGAGGTCAAGTCCATTTGGATTGGCAAAAGCAACGGAGGGAAGCGCCTGGAGTACGCTGACATCAAGAGGGCGTACTCGAAGTGTGTGGAGAACGAGATCTGCCCTGGCTTTGTCAACTCTTCCCAAGAGTCGGCTGCGATGTTCCTCCAGAACGTCGCAAAGATCAGCGAGAGGATGCCGGAGACTGAGACAGGTGCCGATAATCTGCACTACATCGTTGACATGGTTAATCGTGCTTGCGAACTCTATCGAAACAACAAGATGGAAGAGTTCAACGCACAGGTCAACGAGGTCCGGGACGAAGTCAGCAAAGTCGTCATCCTGAATGATGAGACATGGGAAGGACTGAGGTGCCGGATATGTCCATCATGTGCGACCGCGATCCCCACCTGCTTCTGCTTATGCCTGGAGTGCGAGGCACAACTGATCTCCATCGGAAGATACTACATTCACATCAAATCCGATGACGAGGAGGACAACCAAAACCCCAACGTCTCTGGAGATGCCAGGCGTGCACAGGAAGAAGCTAACCACGATGCGGCAGCACAGGAGGATGAGGACGAAGCGGAGGAAGTTCCGGGAGAAGATGACGACATGGACACGCAAGGATATACATCCGGCTATGCGTCAGAAGAAGAAGACGGCGGTTGGCATTACCGCGACACCGATCTGACGTCACGGGACATTATAAGTTCCCAACGGATGGCGATCTGCCTTGACGAGCCGCGTGAGGCTCAGTACATGGCAGGATTTATCGCACTCCAGCTGTCCAAGATGTGGGGGATGTTTGAAGGTGGGGAGGAGAGAACGATGAATGCCGGACTCGAAGGGAATCCGGGCTGCCCTTATCACAATGATTTCAGGAGGTACCCCAACATCACTGAGCACGATCAGGAAGGTATACTTTTGCCGTCAACAACACTGAAGATTTCTCAATCGGAGAATGTTCGGACAAGAGCCTTCCGATCGGTTGAGGAGCGTGACGAATATATTCGTATGATGGTGAACAAATGCGAGGGACTATACACATTCTACAAGCTGTGGATTGCAGCAAGAATCCTCGATGTCACCAAGGAAGAAATGAAGCTCCTGGTCAAGGACCGAGTGCACCCGGTGGGTGATATTATTTTCAGATGTTTTGCACTAGCTTTCAACTGTAAGTATATATCATTCGTGAGGGATGGCCTAAACCTTGGCAAGCATGGCTACGCGGTCAACGTGAGCGCCATCATCTCGGCCATCGACCCGAACAAATGCGACACACCCCTGCTGGATTGGTGCCTTCGGAAAGGGCACTGGTTGCCAGAGGACTACAACAAGAAGTGTGTCCGGGCACGAGAAGCCCAGAAGAACTTGGACGAGGAGTTCCGCCGACGTACCCATAGGCTGTCCATTGGGGACAGGTATGCTTCGTGAAGATGATGATTGTGGTACGATGTGGGCCAGTCCCCATCTGTTACTTGCGTCACATCGACACTGTTTCGGTGGAACGACTTATGTCATGATTTATATTCATGTGTCCAAGATGATTGGATGTGTACATGGTTACATATTCCGATGACTATGACGCTCTGGATATTCATGGATGGAACTATTACCTTATAGATGATATCTTTTCATTATTTATGCATTGTCCATGGTATCTGGAATGGCTATGATTTGCATTGATTACTCACCGATGTTTCTTTGCCGGAGATATGCAGACCGATCACAAGCGGGCGCGCATGGTGGACATTTGTGGCCAACCCATTTATGGATGACAGCTGCGCGATGCGCAAATGCGGCAGCTGGAATGTTCACTGGCGGTCAAGTGAAGTGGCCACAGTGTATTATATACACCTGCATATGGATGTGTGCTTCGATTGGAGGATGAATGTTCACTTTTCGTACAATCGAACCCGGCATGTTTCACAGCGAATGAACGGTGTAGTGATAGCAAGTAAAAGAATGCACGACACGATTTCGTAGTTGAAGCCGTGGCCAGTGGAACGTTTTGTGGTGTTTGGACCGCATGATGAACAATGCGACCCAAATGGGGGATGTTAAAACCCTCTAGGCCCCGTGCCGAAATTGGGTAGCTGTTCTGAGGTCCTTGTTGGTGTTGCTTCCCAAGTTCCATTGATCGCCATTTGGCTCAAGACACAATTGAGGTTCAAGATCTGATGTGTGACTGCGAACATTCGTGACGGGCGATAAGAGCAAAACAACTGCTTGCGCTGCATTGTCAGGACTACTGGTGTAACTATCATTCCTTCTTCCTTACAACGTTTACACGGGTTCGGCTATAACGGCATCGTCCGTATACACCTTTCTACGTGGTTGTATTGAAGCTTGAGGGTTCGGTGCACAGCGTCCCACGGGACGTCACCTTGCCGTCTCTTGACAGAATGAATGAATGAATGAATGAATGAAGGAATGAATGAATGAGCAAAAGAATGAATGAATGAATGAATGAATGAATGAATGAATGAATGAATGAATGAATGAATGAATGAATGAATGAATGAATGAATGAACGCATGAATGACTGACTGAATGAGTGAATGAACGAATGAATGAATGACTGAATGAATGAATGAAGGAATGAATGAATGCATGCATGAATGAATGAATGAATGAATGAAAGAAGGCAGGAAGGAATGAATGAATGATTGAATGAATGAATGAATGAATGAATGAATGAATGAATCAAGGAAGGAGAGAATGAATGATTGAATGAAATAATGAAAGAATGAATGAATCAATCAGTCAGTCAGTTAGTCAGTCAGTCGGGTAGTCAGTCAGTCAGTTCAATCAGTGATACCCAGCGATGTTTTGCGCAACAAAGCACCAATGAAACAAAATGAACGACGCCAGAATTGATGAGCAAAAGTGAAGCAAAAGGAAGAGGTGAAACAGCATGAACAATTGGTCACTGAGACCAGTTGAGGGTGCCTGAGCACCTATTTGTTTTTTCATTCATTCTCTCCTAAAATGCGTCATTTTAATATGTTTCACTTTAGGACTTGTTTTGGCGCATGCTTGCAATTTTACAATTCTTGTTGGCACTTCTTTCATGTTTGTTCTTAAAAACCCACGGACGTGAACCTCAACCCACCCTGAACCAAACAGAAAAAACCCAGTCCTAAACAAACCCACGCCAAGATTACATTAAGTTCCACCTAGACCCCCCGCAGCCCAAATACCAACCCCAAACAAACCGCACAGCAACCCTAAACCTAGCCGCAGATAGTACACCCTCGAGCCAACCCGACCCACATCAAAGCAACAACTCACTGTAAACAACTCCATATGCATTAAAACCACCCGAAATGGCTGGAAACAGCTAGCGTTGAGAATATCAGCTTGCGGAACGCGGTTTCTTGTTCCCGGTTGGTGGGTTTGTCTGTGCTTTTTTTGACATGAAACCAACACACAGCTAAAAACTTTTGGAGGGGACCTTTCAACATTTGGAAGTCTCGTATCCTAACGTTCGGCCTTCAATCCTAAGTATCGCAAAGCTCCGGCCCAAGCTGGAAAGATGACCACCGCGCCAGGCTTCATGTGTTTTCCATGGTTGTGCTGTTTGGTTGTGGCCGCGACAACCCTGTCCGACACGGCGCTACAGGAGGCGCGGGGGCTTGAGAGCACATGTGGCTTTTACATGGCGAGACGGTGTAGATGCCCAACACACTTTTCTCAGATGCGGTAGGCATACTTTGAACATATTGTTTTTTTGTTGGTCACGGAGCCTCGCAATGCATGCCCGACACATTTCCGAAGAACGTTCCAAGGCATCTTTGAGGGCACGGAACCTCACCATACGCATGCGTATTGGGTGTATCCAGAACAAGAAAATACTGTTGCAAATACAATATTTTGCAGTTGCCATATTCCAAGGCTTTCATCAGCTGTACGGTGCGTGCGTGTGGAAAGCCCCCCAGACAAATCACCAAGCCAGCGCCGACAGCATCACCGACGCCCCTGCAAACGCTGGGAATGCAGTTGTGGGTTTTGCAAGGTGCAAATAACCGGATTACCCTTTGAAAGCGTTCAAACAGCATGATAATGCCGGGGATGTTATTTGTGATCGCGTGTGCCCAGTTTCACATTTGATGGGATTCGTCTTGAGGCAACTCGCCCAAGAACTTGCCTTGGCGAGCTTCGGATTTTGCGCGGCGTGCGATTCTCGTGAAAGCTAAGCAGAAGCGCAAAAGAACCGCAGAAGCAAACCATCCAAATGTTGTTTCTCAGGCACGGAAGGATACCAGCCTTGCTTGCTGCCCATGCGACAAACAAATTGAGGCCAATGCATTGCCCGAGTTGGCAAAGGGTGAGGAAGAGTTGATGTTCTGTTGCGCGACTTTTAGGACATGGCATGTCTGAGTCCTTCACCCAAACAATGGGACTTCATGTTACTGAACACGAGATGCTCTTGCATGCCTGGGTTGCTCGAGGTTGCTTTCAAATTTTGTTCCCGTGCTTTCCTTGCTGGGTTTATTGAGCCAAGCAGAGCCGCAAAGCGAGCCAAACGCACGTCTGACGCGATTGCACGAACGTGACGGCTGGAGAATAGTTGGGTGCTCAAAATTTCAGAGCTAGGGTTACGCAGGATGTAATCTTTGGTTTCATTTACCAAAGGGCAGTTTTGGGATTCCATTCATTTGAACCACAGCCAGTTGGCCATGGCTAGTGACTGCTTTGGCCGCAGGCTCCTGAGATGATGCTGCTTCAGACGCGGTTGGCTCGCGAGCCCACAGGCGTTTGCGTTCCTCCACCGAACATGGCAGCAGAGGACAGGGTGATCGTTTTGTTTGCAGTTGCACGCATGCGGCTGACCAGGTCACAACTGTAGAACAGAACACCTCACCAGCTTTCGCCCTTTTCATTCTTGTAGTGGTTCGCAACAAGCGTCAAGCGTGAGCAGCTTTTCTTTTTCTTCCTTTGAAAGTACCGCTGCTAGGCTGCGAGCCCTTGGATTTGTTAGCTCGCTTCCAGCAATGTTAGCCCCGGATTAAGCAGAACTCCTGGTTGATTTTCATCGGTGGGTGTCCCCTTTCAGTGCGCGCCGGGTACATAGTCACCGCACGTTTTTGTGCGTGTCCTCGGAGCTCATGCATTAATTGTCAGGCAGTTTGACAAGAATGCATGTTTCTTCTGGGGTTGTGGGACATCCCGGTAACTAACTCACGCTAGCTGAGTCTCAGGCAGTTTTGGACCAAGTCAGCACACATGGCACTTAGCGGATGTGCTTATCATGTGCCAGCGTGACTCTCACGTGATGCGCGTCATCGGGGGTGCTCATTATGCGCTAGCGTGCGTGATGCGCGTGAGCAGGGGTGCGTATCATGTGCAAGCGTGCGTGCAGCTCTGATGTGGTGCGAGTGGGCGGGTGTGCCTATCATGCGCCAACTCGCGCTCTGAGCTCTGACGTGATGCGCGTGAGAGGCTGTGCTTAACATGTGCCAGCGTGCGTGCAGCCCAGCGCGTGAGCAGGTGTGCTTATCATGTGCTAGAGTGCGTGCAGCTCTGACGTGACGCGCGTGAGCGGGTGTGCTTATCATGCGTCAACTAGCGCGCAGCTCTGACGTCATTTACGTGACAGGGCTGTATCTGACGGGGAGTGCTTATCAGCCCAGCATGCGCGCTGACGTGATGCAAGTTACCGGGTGTGCTTGTCATGCGCCAGTGTGCGTGCAGCTCGGACGTGATGCGCGTGAGTGGGTGTGCTAGCGTGCGACTCGGCCATGCGGGCGGGTAAATACCCGTACCTTTTAGTGGTTGGATTCAGCCCTTCGCAATTGACCCTGCGCCACACGCATGCTAGTTTGGCTCAAGGCCCTATCTTGTAGTGGATGCAGCCATCACAAAAAGGACCTAGCAGAGCGCCTTGCAGGTATCCGTTGCACAATTTGCATAACCAGGGACTTCCATTCTCAGTTGAATAGATCGGGGACCTACCAACACATTCTCTACGGTACGCTTGGCGGTGTCTCAATTGTGGTAGCGGAGCTGGTTTTCCGCAGAGATCCAAACACAATGTCATCCGATGGAGAAGGCTTCGTGGAAGCCTATTCAAGTGTTGGCTGTTCAACCGGCTACACTGAAGAGACGCTCAACTTATCGATAAGCAGCCGCCGTCGTACGACGGAAGAGTCAGCTGGTTGATATATGAAGAACTTGTAGATGATTGGGTGACATTCACTACTAAGAGAGGACCACTCCTCAAGAGTCGTCTCACTGGAGATGCCCATATGTACAAGGCAGTCCTCCAGAACGACCTATTGCAAGATCCTAACGAAGGAGTCAGTTATTTCAAGAACACGCTGAAGAAGTTCTTCCTGAAAGGGTCGACCAACGTGTACTTATACAGACTCCTCAGTTTCTTCAACCACTGGAGGCAGAACACCGAGTTCCTCATATTTCATCAAAATTTGAGATGCTCTTGCTGAGATTGAAGGCAGCCTGGATGGACCTGATGCCAGTCCATACGGCGCAGTCACCAGAGTTCATAGCTTCAGTCCAAGAGGCCAACGCAAGAAGAATTGCCGCGCTACACGAGCGCTGCCTCCAGATCTGCTGCAGACAGACAATCCAGAAGTACTCAGGCAGCGCCTTACAGGCATGCAGACACGGCGCCGAGACGCATTTCCCCTCAACAACAATCTCGTTGCGCAGTTTCTCTTAAATGACACGAGAAACATGTCGCTTGAGAAGAACACTTACGAGATGATGAAAACGCAGTACCACGACCTCTTCATCACGACAAGAACATCCATCCAAGATCCGTCCATTCGGCCATCCGGAAGAAACCGAAGCAACACCTTCTCGAGCAAGGAGAATACGAAGGAGAAGAAGGCTTTTGGGCGGAAGACGAAGAAGGACAAGAAGGTTTTATGCCCACCAATGATGAGGAGACATTTTGGGTACTGGAGGAGAATGACGCGTTTATTGCGAGAAAGGTGTCTGGGCGGAATTGCAGATTCAAGAAGAGAAAAGGAAAAGGAAAATCGACAAGCAAAAAGGGTCACCAACAAGGTGGCTTCAAACCCTTTCGAAAAGGTAGCTCTGGCGGGAAGGCCAATATGGCCAGCGAAAATCAGGATCCCTACAACCAGGCATATTGGGGAAAAGGCAAAGGGAAGAAGGGAAAGAAGGGAAAACCGAACAGTATCTCTATGATGGAAACAAAGGCTATCCATCTATGACAATGGCAAAGGAAAAGGCGGACAAGAAGAAGGAAAATCCAAGACGTTCGCAGCCATCGCAGAGAAGACGGAGGAGCAAGCCGACTGCACCATCCACAGAGCCTACATATGCCGGCTGGATAGATCAGGGTTGGGTTGGAGTGAACAAGGCTGGTACTCATCCCATGACTCATCCAGCACAGCGCAAGCGATGATGGCATTCCATGACGCATATGAGCAGCATGAGAAGGACGCCATCCATGAGAAGCTGACCCAAGCTGATGCAGTCAATGACGGCGACAGCAAAACAAAGCCTTTTCGCAACAAAAGCTGATGGCGCCTGTCATCAACCCACAGCACAATCCGACATATGCGATCCTGGACAACGGATGTACCGGATCCTTGGGCCGCTGGCATGCAATCCAGCGTTTTACCCAGGCCATGAAGAACCTTATCTCCTACTCGTACATCCCGGCCGAGACCAAGTTCACTTTTGCAAATAGAGAGACAGCCAAGGTAAACTGGACCTTGCGCCTCAAGTATCACACGACACCTCCATGCAGTACCAACATCGACATCCTTGAACAAGGAACTGTACCGATTCTTCTGAGCATCGGTCAGATGCGGAGCCTGTGCATGACCATCGAGCATACACCTCAATGTGACAAGATCACGTGTAAGGCTTTTGGCATGAATCGTCAGGCAGTTCCGGTATCCGGTACAGGAGATGCACTCGTCGATTTTGCTGAGTAGCAAGAGTGAAATTACATGGAGAGAAGGGCCTCACCAACTACGTTTACGATGATGATGACAGCCTCCAATTCTTGTCGAGGGAACATTCAGTGAGTGAACAAGTCTGTGCATCCAAGGAAACCGAGGCGAAAGAAGAGACAGCGACTTCAAAAAGACTTGGTGCAGGATCACTGGATACTCGACAAGAAGAACAAGCGGCTCATCCGTGTGCGCATTACGCCTCGCAAGGCACTGTTCACACCGACGGGAACACAGGAGTGTCCGGTTAATCCTGACAACTTCAGCCACGAACGTACAACGGAAATCATTGATGCGTCCGAAGGTGGGGATCCAGAAATTTTTGAAGACAGTTGGAGACTTACATCCCAGGCGAACAAACCATTGACCAACCTGTGGACGGGTAAGACCATTTTCACCTTCGGGGAGGACTCGCTGAAAAACAATCAGAATCCGGCTCAGGATCGGCAGCAGACAGGATCATCGACAAGAAGGGCCAGTCGACTTTTGAGCCAGATCCTGCAACGCCATCCAAGAAAGAACCTACTTCACTTCCGCTTGCTTAGGCAGAATTCATCAGCGATTGTCCAAACCAGAAGAGCTGAAAAAGCCCCACCTTCAGCATCATCATATGACTACAGACCAATTTCGATTTAGGACTCGTGCGCTTCACTTACCAAAATCAATTTACGATCTGTTTGACAAGATCAGAAGTGAATGCGAAGTTTGCCAATCAGCAAGACATGCACCTTCATGAAGCAAGACGAGTGGAGTTCGAGCGGACACATTCGGAGACATGACATTCATTGATCACTGTCAGGTTCTCTTGGCACCGGAGAACATATCTTTTTTTTGTCATCCTGGATGGAGCAACAACATTGCTCACCGCCGAGGCAGTGACATCTACGCAGGAAGCCGAGAACATCACTGTCCTCAGGAATTATTTTGACCAGCGCCACCTGCAGCCAAAACCAGTTGTCGGCGATCAAGCCTTCATGACGGAGACATGGGAACATTTCTATCAGTCCCTCGACATTACACCGATATCTTTGGGACCAAATACGCCATGGCCAAATCGAGCTGAAGCAGCAGTTCAGTCATTGAAGGCTCAGCTGAAGATCATGCTCAACTCGACCAAGTCGGGCAATGCACCTGCGACACTGAAGAAAGTGACACACCGACAACTTGTGAAGGCAGCAGCAACTGTCAGAAATCAAACTGTCACCGACGCGGGTGTAGCGCCTCTGGAGCTCGCATTCGGACGAAGACCTGCAGATCTCATCCAATTTGATGTCGCAACACCGACTCAATTGACGATCGACCGGAATGAGGAAGAGCTTACAGAAATCCAGATCAAGCAGCTGTCCAAAGCAGGCATTCCAAGAGGCTCGTCACTTGATCTCGGATCAAGACTCATCAAGGTCAACATGACAAAGGTCAGAAAGGAGGAGATTATTTTTTGTGGGGAAACCTGGAATTGATTTCTTATTGCCTGATGAGAAAGAATTCTTGCAGAAAGAACAAGGAGGTTCTTCCACTGATTCCAAGGCCAGCATCCTCACGACCATTACCCATTGCTGGAAAATCAACTCCACAGCCTGCAGCATCAAGATCTTTGGAGAACATGTTCGTGGAAGATTTGACATGAATCTGAGGGAGCGCGTTGGAACTGTGTACACAAGGGGAAGATCCAGGTTCTCAAGATCTTTGCAGGGAGTGCCAGATTCAGTCAATGCTGTGCACTCTCCGGTCTAAAGGTTGGGCTCCAGTTGACATTCGCAGCGGATTTGACGTAATGACATCCAAGGGACGACAGGAGCAAGCGCCTGATCTCAGTCTCATGGCGCCAGTCTGTGGA